CGTGTGCGTGCGTGCGCGTGCGCGCGTGCGTGCGTGCCTGTCTCTGTCTATATGTCGCGCTTGTCCCCCCTTCTCGCTTTGCATTCGACTATGGCGGCGGGCGACACGATCCACACCTGAATTGATGCACCCGCCGTGCGACGCTGTCTGGCAATAGCGATTCCCGCGCGCACGCTGCGGCGGCTCCGCTTAATAACTGATGCGGGCATCCACACCGCTGGCTGCTCGTCTTTAGGGGGGCACTGTATAACTTTATGGCCGTGATCGCTACGTGCGCACGCCCCGCGGTACAGATACATATTTTCAGGAGTAGATAAAGGGAACTTCCCTTTATCTACTCCTGATATTTTATAATCGAGCTTAGCTATATGATCACCCCAGCTCCACCCGCTATATAGAGCGGTCGGCCACCTGTCTGTCTGCTTTAATTCTCGTTTGCCGCCGGCGGTGTGTATCCATCGTACTCTACGGACTCTTTTATGAGCTCTCACTTTCGGGAACCAGTTTACGTGCAAGCAAATTGTAGCTTGTGATGGAAAAGTTTTTCGCTGGAAGTTCCGACGATATGGGTTCACACCAGAGCGGCACGCTATAGCTGGCGAATGTTCGGCGCTATTCGCAAGCTGGGTGTTTCGATTTTCTCAGGGAGTTGCAATTAACTTTCTAGAATGAACACGAAACTAAAGTAACTAAAATAACTACGCAATTAAATGAAACTAAAGTAAACCGACGATATAACAGGACTCCACACATGTGTTTCCACGGTTAAAATCTCGAGCCGAAGTTTGTGGGAACCAAGACAATACGGTGCGCGCGATAGGTGTGATTGTTAGTACGCTGCTTTGTAAATGTACGGTCGAACCAACCGTAGTAGGCGACTGTAGTGGAGAGGTAAGATGATGTTAGAATTTAGCTCATATCACTATAGGTACTACACACATATCTATGGTGGCCCAGTGACACCATAGCGATTTTCCGGTGTTTAACAGCAGTTATATTTTTTATACCTTTTTTTACTTTAATTTTTTTACATTTTTTATATTATATTTTTTTTTAAATTCATTTTTTCTTTTTTTATAATTTAAAAATAAAAAATAAAAAGACAAAAGAAAATATACCAGCAGTTATATTTTTTTACTTTTTATTTATTATTTCAGTAGGAGGAGGAGGAAGGGGAGGAGTAGGAGGAGGGGGAGGAGTAGGAGGGGGATAGTTGAATTATTCACATTATCAGGAGTATCTGATAACCATTATGATTGATCCGATCTCCATTAACATAATTATGTGTTTGTTCCTGATTTGTGATGCTATAGCCATTATAATACTGTATTTACTGGCTAAAATTTGCTGTCTTGTACAGCTATCTCTGACCAAGGTAAGTTACCACGGCTCTAGTAGACAATAGAATAAACAATGCACGTTGCAGTCAGTAGCATGCAGCTCGACTGTTTTAGCATTGTGCCACTGGCAATGGCTAGAAATCGGCGGTGGCAGTATATTTTTTAACCGTCCCGTTTCATTACACAACAGATCATTATAAAAACTATTGTAAGTTGTTGTCAATACCCTATAAAAAGCCTATATATTTTCAAGAACTGAGTGAACAATTTTTGGGTCAAGGATAGAGATGATGTTCAGGACGGTGATTGGATAGGATAATAGTATATGGTATAGATGGTTAGATAATGGTATAGATAATACGGTAAATCCACGGGTATTAAACGACATATTTGTGTTCACTCGGCACTTTGTTCTCCTATTTAGTCGGATCGTTTTTCTAGGTGCTTGCTGGACGAGTTAATCAATGTTGAGTCGATCGTTGACTAGTCACGTACAGAACGAGTGTGTGGTGGCTGTGTCATTTTTGCGGTAGTTTGCCGGCCGGCGCAATGCCGCTCCAGGGGTCGTTGTCGTATCAGGTACTATACAGATATATGTACCCGAGGTACATATATGTATACACAAAGTGTACCAGACTTGTACTACAGAAGTGTACCCTAACTCTAACACCAACCCTAACCCGAACCCTAAACATACCTCATATAAACATAATACTAAACAACCTAAAACTACCTCGGGTACATATCTGTACCTGATACGACAACGACCCCATCTGCCGCAGTGCCGGTGTAGTGCCGGCGTAGTGTAGTGTTTCGAACATAAACATTGTTCAAAACCACCCATTAAATGCTAAGAGTAGATTGCAAAATAATTATTTGATATCTCCTGCTTATTGTGAGCTATAATAGTATAGTATATGTATTACTATTACTATTACCAAGAGTAGATAATAACACATTGTTATTATCTACTCTTGTGTATATATATAGTCAATGGCCGCGTGTGGGCTGTAGCTGCAGGTGCGGACTTGTTCATGCTGCCAGTATACAAGACCACACCATGAGTGATAGAGAGAGTAGGCCACCTCTACAGCGCGCGGGCGGCAAATTCGTATGTCTGGAGACGCTCCGCACCTCGCGCCGGCGCACGTGCGCTCGGAATCTTTACAGCTTTTTCTATATATATTTCGCAGAGTAGTCTTCCGAGAGTATATCGCGTGTCGCGCGACTCCGGCAGCAGCAGCAGACACACACAGCCAACGCCTACGTTACTGCCCGTATCTTCGCGCAGCGTGGTCACGCTCTGCAGACGTAGCCGGTTATTTGGGGAGACCGCGTGTTTCTAACTGGTCTGCGACGTTCTAGATAGCTGGCCTCGGCTGCGCTGTCGCCGTGTTATTGACACGAACCTACGCCCTAAACAGTGCAACCGGCGACTCTTCTGTTTAATTCGGATTAATCTAACCACGCCGCCTTACTCAATATATCACTATAGGAGCAGTTATATTTAGGGACGCTGATGGAAGGAGATGGAACGCTGAGGATGCGAAGTTAGGCTAATTCGCAGAGAAACGTTTAAAATATGGTGAAACATTAGCGCAAGCTGCTCCACGTGTAAGGGATTACCTACTCTGGTATCTAGGTTGCCATATTGCTGCCACCACCGTCGTCTGTCCTTGCAGAGCAAACGCTAATGATTGTGCGCGATGGCGGGCGGAAACGACTCGGATACATCCTCAGAGAAGCAAGTGATGGAATCATCGAAAAGGTGCGACGAGAATGAAAGTCGTGGCAACTGGACAAATTCTATAGATTTCTTCCTGAGCTGTGTGGGCTATGCAGTCGGACTCGGTAACATCTGGCGCTTTCCCTACATTTGCTTTACAAGTGGAGGCGGTGAGTGATGTAGAAACAACAAAGAAGGGAGAGTGCATGGGTTTAGATTCCACTCTAAATATTATGTATGAACTATGATTCACTATAGGCGGTCAGGTTCTTGTTTTATCTGAATCTCATACTTAAATGTTTAAAAACAATCGCCACGGAGTGCAACAATAATTTCGCGCATGAAATCGGCCATGAAAAAATATTACATTAAAAAAACAATTTTCAGGTAAAACTAAGTATGTAGTGGTAATTTAGAAGCCGGTTGACCGGTTATATCAATTATTGTAACAACAATTTTGTGAGTTCAACAATGGAAAATATTTTTCATAGAAGAAATTTTGTTTTCAACCATAAGTTTGTACGTCGTAATTTAGAAGCCTGCCGGTTTGAACGTGCTGGTAGGCGTTGTTAACATCGTACCGACCCTGATGTTAGGTATGTTTATACACAGGAGCCTTTCTCATCCCGTACCTGATAGCACTCGCTGTGTGCGGATTGCCTCTGTTCTTCCTCGAAGTAGCCATAGGCCAGTTTTCGGGCAGTGGAGGAATTTTAGTGTGGAACATCAGTCCTATCTTAAGAGGTATAGTACAGTACTTAGATTGGTGAATTGCGTGTCAGCTTAAATATTCCATGACAAAATAATTTTGACTCATGTCTAATTAATTATTGACTAATATTGACACGGTATGTCAGCCGGAGTTTTATCGTAGACCTTTTATCGTAGACCTATATATATCAGGAGTAGATACTCCTGATATATATATATCTTATTGCATTAATTGTTATGAAAAACGTGTGTGCTTTGGTATGTATACATATATAGGTGTCGGTTTCGGAATGGTTATGGTGCCAACGATATATTGTACTATCTACAATGTCGTCATGGCCTACATCCTCTTCTACTTGGCGATGTCCTTCACGAAGCTATTGCCGTGGGAGACGTGCTTGAATCCGTGGAACACTGCCGCATGTCTGCAGCGTGGCTACGATCTCCTCGGCAGCCATAACATGTCCGGTGAGTCTAACCAGTCGCAGCTTGTAGACGCCATGATGGACAACATTACAGCAGACGCGGGCACAGCTAACATCAGCGGGGTCGTAACCAGGAGTTCGTCGGCGACGGAGGAATTCTTTTAGTACGTGATACTTTTGCTTTGTTCTGCTGTTCTCGATAACTTCCACAATATATAGCAGGGTAATCTGTTGTTCTGTGCCGATATATAAACTCCCTATTCTGAAGCTGATTTATTTTAAACTAATTGCAAAGTGTTTAAAATTTTATGTAAAAGTTGCTACGCTAAGATTTCTGTTGCTAAGCACGTTTTTAATTGTGACAAATCTTTTGGAAACGTTTACAATACACACAATCCTCCCTATGCATAGGCAGGATCTAGGTGACACGTTTCTTAACATTTGCAAATTTTTTGTTCGGCATGCAGCAATTTCGTGTTGGAGATCTCTGAAGGGCTTCACGACCTTGGTGGCTTCCACTGGAAGCTGCTGCTCGCTTACTGCATTGGCTGCTTCATCGTTCTCGTCTGCCTCTCAAAGGGCGTAAAATCAACGGGAAAGGTACAATTAGCGGCATCGGGCAAAGTTGGTGAAACAGATGGTTTCAGATATTGTTGTTATACATTGCAGCAATTTTTTTCGACTTATATGCTGTCTAAAAAAACACACTCGCTCTTCAAATGAACTTTACATTTATTTATTCAGGTGGTGTACTTCACCGTTACCTTCCCTTACCTGATTCTCCTTATACTGCTGGTGAGAGGTGTGACCCTGCCGGGAGCTCTCAATGGCATCAAGTTTTACCTTTGCCCGAAATGGGAGGCTCTGCTTGAATTCAAGGTGTGTATCTTAAATTACGAGTCACTGGAAGGATTGACTAGAAATCTAAATTACATAGTGTCTCCAGTACGCAGGCTATCTTAATAATCCACTTTCTACCTCTATGCGTGTACTATATATCGTCTATATTTCAGGTCTGGGGTTTGGCATTTGTGCAGATATTCTACTCACTCGGACAAGGCTGGGGTGCTGTGGTTACGATGGCCTCATACAACCGTTTCCACAATAATATGTTAATGTACGAGATGTTGTGTAATAAAACTCATCAAGTCGATCAACCGTACCTACTAAATTCATTGTTCACAATGTTATCACAGTAACCATGCAGGATTTACTCATTGCTACCCAGTTTTCCCCATTTTTGGATTGGTTGCAAATGCTGATAAAAATTGATTCGCCTTCTATAATAAGGCGATACATGCGTAAAAGAATTAACATAATATGATCCAGCTTATAACACAATAATAAATACAAATAATCTGCATACACGACACTTATTCTTCAGACAATAGATAAAGCATATTACGTATGATGCGATGGCATATGTTATTACTTCGAGTCATTATCTGTATTTTATCGAGGTTCAAAATGAGTAAATAAGTATAAAATGATTCGATATTACTATTGAGACAAAATTTTATATCGGTTGATTTATGAGCATATATACACAATAACTTAGTTGTTGCTTGAATGTGGATATACGGTAATGTGATGTGTGGACATATGTTGATACTTTAGAGAGTGTTACCTGGTACCAGTCGTGAACAGTGCTACCAGTCTCCTTGCTGGTTTCGTCGTCTTCTCGGTCCTTGGATATATGGCGGAAGTCGCTCAAGTTGACATTAAAGACATTGTTGCTGATGGTTGGTACTTTGGTTTTCTACATGTGGCCCCGTGTTCATTATGGTTAACGTGATTTTAATTTCGCTGTAATTACGTGCGTAAAAGTCATGATGTTTGTTATATAGCAGAAACAGCAATTAAGTGACGTCAGCTCTTGAGGGTAGATGAGCAATCGAGTAACACTTTCTTGAAGAAATGTATCATTCATCGGAATGTTTTGCGTTTTTACAACGAACAGTCACTTTTCTGCGACTTCAAAATCATGTAATATTTGCTCTCGTGAATTTGTCTACAGGTCCTGGCTTAGCATTCATGGCATACCCTGAAGCGATAACACACATGGCTCTTTCTCCACTGTGGAGCATTCTCTTCTTCTTCATGCTGCTGACTGTGGTGCTAGATTCTCAGGTTTGAACCATGTTTCTAATTGAATATCTAGTGAATGATCAGAATTTAATGAAAATTATTGATTATCACAACTGAATTAAGAGATGACTTAATTGCATTAGAATCGATGTGCTAAAGTCAAAAACACTGCAGCGACAACGACTAACCCTAGGGTTCAGGGCCAAATTAACAGGGACTATAGCACTAGCCACAATGTAGGCGTTAACGACTGGCCTTGAGTGTTCATCTGCGTTTTTGCTACACAATGGCTGCCATTTTAATGTAACTTCGAGCCTGACACATGTTATATGGTCTTGCCATTGATTCAGGATTTCTGTGCTATGTATAGCTCATCATTTTCTTTTAGCTGCATGGGCAGCGTTGCACAAAAAATACTCCAGATCTTATAAAACCAAACTTCGAGCCTGACGCATATGTTACATGGCCTTAATTTGCCATTGATTCAGGATTCCTGTGCTATGTATAGCTCATCATTTTCTTTTAGCTGCATGGGCAGCGTTGCACAAAAATACTCCAGATCTTATAAAACCAAATTTCTTTGAACACAAAAAATGGTCTGTTTGATAGAGACGCCATTGAAATCCGCAAACAGTTAAGCAGATGAGAGCAAACCACTATTAAATTCCCCATAGAATCCTATATTTAAGAATTGAATTTCATGTACTGAAAATAATTATTCAGACAATTTATGCTGAGTGGCACTATTAAAGCTAGATGAGCGTGTGCTTCAGCTGACTTCCATCAGATTTTTGTCACATGTTGACCGGCGTTTAAAAAATGTATCGCAAATTTATTCACGGAGACCACATTTGTGTCTGAAGTACAGCCGCACAGCCAAAAACAGAGGCCATATGCGGTGATACTTTGCCGGTTTTAAATTAATTACCAGTAAGAATCTACCCATCTCCGTATGTGTGCCAGTGGCACACACGTTAGCCAACCTAACTAATGTAACCACAAAACATGGCATCAGCCTTAGTGCGCACGGGCTGCGGGCCTTTTGATTGGTCAGCAGACGACGCATCACATCCCCTCACGGGCCATTAAGGTAACGAATCGGTAGTGATTTATTGGTGGTCATGTGTCTGCCTGCCTGCTTTCGGCTGTCTGTCATCTTCCTGCTTTCGTTGCGGAATGTTGTTGAATGTCACTTGCCGATGAAAAAACATCGTCTACGGCTGTGATTGGCTATTTATGAAGTGTCGCGTGACTATGTCCCTGGAAATAAACGATTCCGAATATTTTTGTCGTAACTATATTGTCGCCAAAGGTTATCGCTAGCGTGTGCAACAACAGCTCATTGAAAACATGCAATAGTTGATAATTTCTAAAATGTTAAATGTTAGGTTGTTGTCGCTGCAGTGTATATTGTTCTTAACGGCCGTGTTCGAGTCATGCGTCTATATACACGTACCTCTATCCAAGGCAAGTCGACAATCCGCCGACAAGTTGCGTAATCTTTGTTTGTATACCATTGACCTTGTTGTTACCAGCAGATGCGATTGCTTTGATTTACTTATCAACCTCGCGTGATAAGAGAACTGTCAATTTCTAGGCAACATATCAATGAAATATGTCAGAAAATAAATAATAAGGTTTAAGTAAACAGGAGGAACGTAATGATTTGGGGGGGTATTAATGATCACCGACAGAAGAGCGATTGACAACAACATTAAATTGGCGTAATGTAGTGTTAAGAGCACACAGCATCTGCACTTGCATCTTTTCAGTTTGTTGGCATGGAAACAGTCATCACGTCGTTTAGAGACATCCTGCCAGCGCGTTATCAGAAAAGACATCTGTTGATCACTGTGATCATCTCTGGATTAATGTTTGTACTTGGACTAGTTTTTACAAGTCGAGTAAGTGTTGTCGATTCTTATCACATTCTGTATCGAAGGAGACGATGACGTATATATCTGCCTGACGCAGCTCACTGATAAAATTCAGTAAAGGGTTTCGCTATTTATTTATAAATACGTCTATACTAGTTCTGTTCATACTGTAACCATCGCTATTACTGATCTTACAGGGTGGCTCGTACATCTTCATCCTCATAGACTGGTATTGCGTCGGACTACCAGCAATGTGTCTGTCTATAGTCGAGGCCCTTGTGGTGGGATGGATATACGGTACATTTACGTTTTGATGTCGTTTAATATTTCATTTCTACATTTTGATGGGAGTGGATAAAATAGTTGCACGTGTGCATCGCTCATGATGAGATTTTTTAGAAAAGAATGCAACTGTGAACTGAACTGGAGTTGGTGATAGTTGATATTCTGTATATTCTCAGGAGCCGACAGACTGTTAGATGAGGTGACATTAATGGTCGGGAAACCAGTGTTTGGAAGATCCGTGCTTGCAGTTATGTGGAAGTTCATTGTACCAGCAATTCTCTTTGTAAGTATTCTACGCCACAACGTATTAATTACCAGACCACCATTTCATGAAGTAAATAGTAAATAAAGTATATATATATATATATATATATATATATATATAATATATATATATATAATTCGCGCAGTCGTCGTGTGTTTATAGAGGGTTCCGCGATTTGCACTAAAAATAGCAATATTACCTACAATCCTGTGCCGTCGGCCATTTCGGTTCCAAAAAGAGCTAACACGTGTTGCGTGTAATCTGCCGATCTGCGCAATCAACCGATTTTACATTGGCTATAGTGTTATTATTGCAATAGATATTAGCAGTAAGTGGATCCCGTCTTTGCAGACAGGTTTATCAGCTGGGGTTGTGAGTTGCTAGTTCGATGAGATTGCGCAGGCCCGGTTTTGCAAGCAGGTTTACCATCGTGGGTTTTAGGTGCGAGTTCAATGATGCTGATGCCACACAGTCGGCAGATTCGTAGATTGAGCAGATCGGAAGATTGCACGCATTGCCACGCAACACATATGTTCATAGACTTGAGTTTGTTTACATCGTAAGAGTTCAGAAATTTCACCGATGTTACTGCATCTACTCTAGCTATCAAACGCAGCTTTTTATAATAGCTAGTGTATGCACGTTTGCCGACTGTCTATAGTGTACGTAGTATGGATAAGTACTTTGATTCACTAGACAACGTAGCCAAAGCACGCTATCTCGAGAAAATTGCGTGTATTGGGAATCGAGACCCATACCAAATAGACAATGCCGAATGGAGTGAGGACCACAATGTGTTCCCATCACACACCTATTTGGATCTCGTGAACTACCTAACATTCCAGCCGAGTCCATTTTATACTCTCAAGGACTTTCAGAACTACAAAAGCCTGGATGCCTACGATCGACTGTTCTGCGGTTGGGTTAGTGGTGTACCAGTCTACATCTATCATGTGAACAGTGAGAGTCCCATCTACGTTATCCGACACGTGTTATGCGCTCCCAGTCTCTGATTAAAGTGATTATCCCATCTCTCTACCCATGCATATGTCATTATGAGGGAATATGGGACAGGCATCATGTCAGCACACTGTAATTGTAAAGCCAGGCTTGGTGAATTCTGTTCACATGTTGCCTCGGTGCTATTTTATGTAGAGTATGCTGCACGTGCAAGAGAAATCACCACCCCCACTCAAACAGCTGCCTACTGGATGCCCGCGATATATGTATATAAGTGTAAATGTGTAGTGGCCGACAGAGTACTGAAACATTGGTAGTAAATACATTTCGTGTTTATTCAGCATTGCTTTTTTATTGAAAATGCTCCAAACGTCTGTGGTCCGCCTGGTCTCTCGTCACTTTAACCTTGTGTTGTGATCACGCTAGGCAGCCTAAAAAAGCTGTGTGGCTCTCTCTGATACCGATTGCTGCAGTTGACAACACCGCAGGAGAGCGGCGTTGTGATGGATTTGCTTAATAGGCGAATAAAATGAGCAGAGGTGCGTTGCTCAATGTACTTGTATGCCATGCCTGAACTGGTTTCTGGAACCCTAATGGCCGGCGGCGTTGCATTATGGGTAATATGAAAAATCGCGGAACCCTCTATAGGTGCCTGATGACAGTGACGGTAGTTTAATCGTTATTAATTGTCCGTATATATGTATATATATATATATATATATGTGTATATATATAAGAATATATAAGAATTGTATATAATAGTAAGAATAATGGATAATAATCGTCCCCATCTATTTAATTTGTAGTTCATCTTGGCATTTACGTTTATCACACACGAGCCTGTCACATATCTGAACTACGACTATCCACGGTGGAGCATAGCTGCTGCTTGGACTCTGGCTGCGATGACAATTCTTCTGATTCCAATGTACGCTGTCTATTATCTGACACGCGTTGACAGAAAGGGATCACTCTGGCAGGTATGTGTGACATTAATTGTTATTTGTTTTTAGCTCATCTGACGAACTGTAAATAGGCCTACCTCGCAGGTTGGTGGCTGATAGTATCACAGCATGGGCTAAACGAAGGTAGCAACTAGTTCGGATTATCTATTCCCTGCACCTAGTCAGTATGCACGCCATCTATCGGAACAGAGTGAGAAGAATGTCCCGGCAGGATCAAGGAGCTACATATAACATGGTATATGTAGCTCGATCCTTGGGCAGGATAGGTCAAATGTATATTGCGCTCAAAGGTGTCACTACGCACGACTGAAATGTTACGTTTATAACCGTAGCAACAGAGCTCAGATGAGCCCAGTCGCTCTGCGGCTCTTGTTATTTCTTAGCGCGTTTCATATACGTATTCAAGTCATAGTATAGCATGCGACAGCATTTTAATCTATAGCAATGTTGTATAGGTAGGCGTACTCTTTAGAAATACCACTTAGACTGTTCCATGTGCCTGTGTTTAGAATAGTACGTTAGTAAGGTGTTGTGTTTTTGCAGCGACTCCGTAGAGGCCTGCAACCTTCCAAAGAGTGGGGCCCTGCTGTGGAGCCATACCGGTCCGACTACTGGCATCAGCGTCTCGCCCAGGGACACGTGGCGCCCCCTGAATACATGGAACCAAACGAACAAAAGATGCAATTTCTCAATAACAAACCAGAATAGGAGTTCATTAGTGCCGTCAAAAATTTATCGCCACTAGTGGTCTATTTTTGCTAGCAGTTGCATATTTCTAATGCGGCATTAAAGCAGGAGATGTGCACAGAGTGCTGTGTAAGTTATTAACATGAGATGTACAATTTCATTCATTGAGAGCACCTTTCGTCATACTGTTAACTTAATTAATTGAAGAAGTTGATTAAGCTAGAGTACGAGTAAATAATTAATTGACGTGAGAGGTGGAATAAATCGATACGGTCGACGTACAATATGCGGTGCGTACAGTGTCGTCAACGTATCAAGGCTCAGTATTGGAACTTCCTATGGAAGTTACCAATATAAATTATCAAACCATTTAATATTCAGAACAGCGTTGTCAACGTATCAAGGCTCGGTACTCGAACTTCCTATGAAAGTTACCAATATAATTTATCAACTATGTAAAATGCAGCGCACAGTGTTGTCAACGTATCAAGGCTCACTACTGGTACTTTCTATGAAAGTTACCAATATAAAAATGTATATTACCATAACTTGCAGCGTACAGTATTGTCAGCGTATTTGGTGTCAGGAACGGAAATTCCTATGGAAGTTACCGATATAAATTACAATAACTTGCAGCGCACAGTGTTGCTAGCGTTTCGACGCACAGTAGCGGCACTTTCTATGAAAGTCATCGATTTAAATTACTAAACCACACAACATGCACCCACGATGGTATACGGAAAGATATATATATATATACATAGCTGTTCAATTTTTGCATGGCTATGTGTGAAAATATGCTGTAAATCTAGAAATAAATATTATCAGCTCAATGTTGTGTTCGTGTATTGCATGTCTAATTCACGCACACGCACACGCACGCACGCACGCACGCACGCACGCACACACACACACACACACACACACATATTACCAGGTAGTAGTGTAGTGTAATGTAGTAGAAGGATACACAGGTGAGAAACCTATAACAGGGGCAGCGACGTGAATGTTCCTGTGGAGCCAATGCACGTAGGCGCACACTCACACGCAGACAACGGACACAATCATGTTAATCACACTTGTAGGAGGATGTATTCATTTATTTTCTATTCATGTATTTCATTTTAATTTAAACTTTTACAAATCAATGACAGCTGAATTGAGATTTAAGGATTTAAACTGATTTTTCTCGTGACAAAACCATTGGTTCATGTCTAAAAATACCATTTCAAAGTGCAACCTAAAATGTAATCGCACCTGAAGCCATTAAATTTTCAAAAATTTTCTGGGGGAGGATCGCTACATAACGGTCCTCGCGCTGGCGGCTTTGCTGCCATATCCTCTGTAGAAGTGGAAAATATATTAAGAGTTCTAATAAACTATTGTTGCTGCGCCGGGGGGGGGGTCTGACCGTAACCCAAACTTGCGAGCACGCGAATGGGGGGTGTGGGGGGCCCTCCCCCTGAAAATCTTTGAAATTATAGACCCCCTCAGATGCCTTTTCTGCGCGAGCAGGAGGGGGAGGTCTGGACCCCTTAGACCACCCCCCTGTACACGCCCCTGACTTGTTTGTTATCGATAAAGTGCATTTGCTCGTTAGCTTGCATGTATTCAGGGGGCGCCACGTGTCCTTGGGCGAGACGCCGATGCCAGTAGTCGGACCGGTATGGCTCCACAGCAGGGCCCCACTCTTTGGAAGGTTGCAGGCCTCTACGGAGTCGCTGCAAAAACACAACACCTTACTAACGTACTACTACAATTCCAGCTGATCTAAACGTAGACACCCGAAACATTCTAAGAGTCGTTCACATATATAAGGCATGTATATTATAGCCTACAGCATTGTCATAGATTCATGCTAAACATTGACCTAAGCGTGCAAGATTCTATATGAAATATAACGCGCGACAATTGCCAACAGATAAAAACAAATAACAATGTCACACACCTGCCAGAGTGAGCCCCTTCTCGCAACGCGTGTTAGATAATAGACAGCGTACATTGGAATCATGAGAATTAACATGGCAGCCAGAGTCCAAGCAGCAGCTATGCTCCACCGTGGATAGTCGTAGTCGAGATATGTGACAGGCTCGCTTGTGATGATAGTAAAACTTAAGATAAACTAAAAGGAATGTTGACCGACAATTAATGATGAGTTATTAGGTTCACGTACCATTACTTAAAACTGGGCATGCTGCACCACCTCTTCCTTAACCGAGATTCTTGGAGTTCTACGCAGGAAACAGAATCGAGTCAATCCGCACTACTAGATTTCCCGTTCCCCGTGTCTCCTTATATATTATATATATATATATATATATGTGTGTGTGTGTGTGTGTGTGTGTGTGTGTGTGTGTGTGTGTGTGTGTGTGTGTGTGTGTGTGTGTGTCGTCGTGCGTGCGTG